AATCAGAGATTGCTGCTAAATAAATAATAAATGAGCTCAAACTCCTCGATAAGCTTAGAGATTAACGAGAAAGACGGGAAATCAAGTATTTTTACTGTAATACAGTATGTCAGATCACAGCCTTACAGTGCAAGCACAGCACACGCTGGGGTCCAGGAGGCAGGCAAGGCAGCCAGCCGCTGTCTGACACAGAGTAGGGCTCCACAAACGCTGACATAAACACGTGCAGGTCACGGACACCTACAGACATCGAGGGCTTGAGAACACGGTCAAAGTGCCAAGAAATTACAAAAATTCACAGAGGGGAGAGACATCTCCAGCTTCAGCACCCAGGGAGTACAGTGGGTGGGGGCTGAAGAGGGAGACAGAACAGCTTCGCTGAGGAACTGGTACACGAGCCTGGTCTGGAAAGGAAACCACAACGACAGGCACACGCAGGGATGAGTGAAAGACGTGAGATGAGAGCGACAGCACCGAGTACAGGGGAAGCGAAGTTCAAGGGCACAGAGCATAGCCTGTGGCAGTCAGAGAATGGGGCTGTGCACAGCGGGAAGCAAACGTTCTTCTGCAGCAGGGTGGGGCACAGCGCAGATGTTAGTGCTCTGCCAAAGCTCCAGAGATAACTGCTGTTTCTCAAAGGTTAGGAATCATGTACGATACCATGTTTTCATTTCATTGTGGAAAGAGAGGTGACAAGGAGGGAAAATAAAAGGCAGGTGATTAAAAATGCTTTTCTCCCCCAGTGAACATTTACTTTAACTAATGTGGAAGTATTTCGGGATTCTCCTAAAATAAAAGCTATAAACACCTTCATCATAATCATATAATCAATGCCATTTATGTGAGTTTCAAGCTTTAAAGTCTGAAGTTTACTGAAATTCAAGTGAGAATAAATGCAGAACTTGGGCAAGTTAGCCATACTGAGCTTCAATTTTCTCCTCTGCAAGGAAACGCTCAGCACACATGACCCTTCAAGAAGCGCCTCTGATGTGGCAAAAGGCTACATACGACAATTTCAGAAACAGGAAATCTGTGATGAGCATGTGAATTTTTACCTCCCCATGCCTCTAGGAGGCATCAAAAAGCCCTTACTAACATCACTCTGTGGTAACTTTTCTACTGACTATGTCTAATTCATTGGACAGTTAACATCAAGAAAAGTAGATGCTGAATCAAAAACTCCAGTGTTTTGTTCTGTGCTGTGGGTAGGTGATGAGATCATCTGTGTTTCTTTCAGCCCAGCGGTAGCGAAGTCACCACCACGTGCACCCCAAGGCATCCCCCTGGGCTGTAGGACGGCAGTAAAATAACATTTGTTAATTTGTCTGGTCAGGAAACTTTGAAAAGCTCAGGAGCTTGGGGATTTCAGTAGCATGTGATTTTGCAGATACAGCTCTGTAAACTCCAGTTTTTTTGTAGGTACTTTTCTATCAGGAATGCCAAAGGCCTTCTTGTAGGCAAACTCGTGCAGAATTCCAGGGTCTGGCTGACCACCATCAAGCTGAGGCACAGAGTTTAAGAATGATTAATCACAGATGAATTACCCTTTTGTTTCCTTTCTGACATTTCAGAACCTTTCTGATGTTTCCACTATCTGATGTCTGGCCATGTCATGATACCAAAGCAGACTGCCTGCAACTGCTGTTTACTTTGGCCTGCACACAAGTCTGGATAAGGAATCCAGTCAAAACACCTTCAGATCACAGAACGGCCTTACAGCAGTACTGACAGGCCACACGGAGAAGAGAGTTTTAAAATTACACCTAACCCCATTTCTATGCAATCCAATTTTATGTTCAAATGAAATCATGGAGTTCTGAAATATATGGGAGACAGTCACAACAGGGAATATAAACTAAACTTTACATGCAAGTAACAAACATTCTGGGGCCTCCCTGGTGGCGCAGCAGTTGAGCGCTGGGTTGCGAAGCTGCCCGCAGCCTCTGCAGCGCCGGTTCGATCCCTGGCGCCCGGGTGAGGGTCCCACATGGCGCGCAGACCTCTCCTGCCGCCCGCTGCTCCCCTCAGCAGTATACTTCATCAGTCTGCCTGCTCTGCTCTCCCCTCTGGCTCTGGTGAATTCTCTCACCATCCCGCGCTTCTGACTGTACCCAGTGCTTGTATAAACAAATAAATCTTTAAAAAAAAAATTCTGAAAGCTTTTCAACAAGCTTTTAAAAACTTTTTTAAAAGTTAGCATATATAATAACACACACACATATAAACCACAGGCATGTATATAAACTATGTGATACACTTACAATTTAACAGTTCAGTCTTTAAAAATCCTGTGCAGGTGTCTGCACTCTGAACCCCTGGCACCCCAGGAAGCACCCCCAAGAGGAATCAGATCTAGCCTTAGAAGACAAATTACTGGCAAGAGTGACTTCCAGGCTGCAAAAGGATGGATGAGGAGTTTGCAAGTACAGAGGACTGGCAAGGGGAGGAGAAAAACAAGAAAACTTCTCTCAGGTGGGAAACCCCAGTCGAGAGACTACTCCATTAGTCTTCAAAATTCCAGGCCCCACATAAGGAACTGTAGATATGAACTTCTTCAATATGACTGGCAGCAAATTTAATAAACAAAAACCAGGCAGCTCTAAGGTGAGAAGTCACCTTCCCATTCATCACCAGGCTCTCACATGTGAAAAATAAGCTGGAGGCTGACTTCACATGGGATTCTCGTGAGCTTTAAAAATCAGATTCCTGGGCCTCCCCTGGTGGTGCAGTGGTTGAGCACTGGGCTGCGAAGCTGCCCGCAGCCTCTGCAGAGCCGGTTTGATCCCTGGCCACCAGTGAGGGTCCCACATAGCGCGACAGACCTCTCCTGCCGTGCCCGCTGCTCTCTTCAGCAGTGTATTTTGTCAGTCTGCCTGCCCTGCTCCCCGCTCTGGCTCTGGTGGATTCTCTCACCCTCCCGCGCTTCTGACTGTACCCAGTGCTTGTATAAATAAATAAATAAATAAATAAATAAATCTTTTAAAAAAAAAAATCAGATTCCCATGTACAAAATCAATTATTCAAAATCTCTGAAAGAGGGCCCTCAAGCATTTTCAGAAAGCTGCTCAGGTCATCCAAAGTACAGCCAAACTGAGGACAGCAGCGACTCAAAAGCTAAGCAACTCTGCCCCAGCTGTTGCTTTCCTGAAATGACCCTAGATCTCCTCCCCCACTACCTCTGTCATTCAAATCTTCACCTAAACATGACTCCTCAGAGGACCTCCCTAGACCAAACCTAAAGCAGTCAGACCCAGTTAATATTTGGCACCTCTCGGGACATTTCTTTATTAATACACTGTTATGTCCTTATGAAAATGGAAGTTCCATGAGACCTGAATTTGCTGGTCTTTATGATCTTATCTATATCGTTAGGGATCAAAAAACTGAAGAGACTCATCAACCAAATACAACGTATGGACCTTGTTTAGGTACTAAGTCCAACAAACTAACTATAGAAATATTACGACTGGGGAAATAAAAGCACTGACTGGATCTAACAATACGTTTATATTAATACTTTTGAAGTGTGATAGCAAGACTGTAATCATGTGCTCTTATTGTTTAGAAATACACTAAAATACTTAGAGATGAAATGACAACCTGAATTAGTTCCAAAATAATTCCAAAGACGGCGGTGGTGGGAATAAGGGGTGAAGGAACAGATGAAGTAAAATGTACTGATAATTGCTAGATCTGGGTGATGGGCACAAGGGGTTCAATTACACTTTTCAATATGGCATGTTTTTAAATTTCCCATAATTGAAAAAAAACATAATTTATGCATACGAATATATTTTTAAATGTATTAAATATATTCCTTTACACATGCCATGCCCTCGGCTCCAAAACTATCAATGACTCCCAGCTGACTGGAGTGCTCAAGGTCCTCCCCAGCTCTTTGGTTAGTCCTGCTTATGTGAACACGTCACAGGCGCTGTCTCCCAGGAATCCCTTCACATGCTCCTCCTTGAAACACGCGTCCCCTCACGCCACCATACCTCTCGGACCTCTCCTGCTTAGGCCCCTTCCTCTTCCACACCTGCGTAGCAAACCCCACCACCTCCAGGTCACTTACCAGACCACAGTAGAATCTGGTTTTATAAAAGGAAAATGCCCCCAATCTTCACCTAGATTCAAGTTTTAAGTGGAAGAGTCATGCTTATATTCTTATGCATCTTTAGAGCTTACAGCTGTGCCCTAAGCAGAACAGGCTTGGTGGTTGTTACTCGGGAGGGAGGGACTCAGGAAACCTGCTCCTTTATACTGCTTCTGCCCACTCCAGCTTTTACAGTGGGCTACTAACACTTTCATTAGAGAGAGTCATAAAAGGTAAAACCTTAAAAAAAAAAGGTTCTAAAACATACTTAAATCTCCCAGTAATCTGAGGAATTACAAAGTATGAGCATTACACACCACAGAAAGCTTGATTTCTGAGACAGCAAATAGGTTTCCTTAATTCATCCCCACTTCAAAGGTCCAAATCCTGTGCCCTGAGATAAAAAAATCAAACTAAAGATTCATATTTCTATAATGAAATCCTTATAAACATTTGCAAATATTATATTGTCAAAAAGATAGCTTCCTGCTTATGAAGAGCCCCACTTTTTCTGGACTGTTTTGGGGACCAAAGGAAACAAAACTAAACCTGAATGGGGGAGAAAGAATGGATAAGGATGTACCCAGAGAAGGTAGATTCCCTTACGGCTGTACTGTGCTACCCCAAGTGAGCAGGGTCCTACAGAAAGTTCCTGAGTATATCTGAGATTTCTATAAATTCGATTAATTTCTATAGATTAACCAAATATTAAGTGCCCATGTGTCAGGCACAGCTCTAGGCAGTGAATGAACTAGATCCTATGACAAGTTTATGACACTGAAAAATAAATTATGATTTACACTGAAAACACACAAGCCAGTTAAACTAAAATGAGGAGAAACTATGAAAGCACTAATTTTCATCACACAAATATATAGCAGACACGTGTGAAAATAAACTTTACCTTGTATTTCATCTTGGGACATGAATGAATGTAGAAACCCATGTAATAATAGCTGAGCTGAGATGCCTCCTCATGAAGTTGCCTCGTAAAAGCAATTTCTCTGTCAAAAGAAGAATGAAGCCAGTCAGTTAATTCCAGTTCCAATATTCAAAGAACTATGTAATTGGATGACAAAATTTAATATTAAGCTATAAAAAAGATCCATGTATCCAATGAAAAATAATTTTTAAAACACTGTAAGATGATTGTTAATATAGAGACACACACACACATACACAAAAACCCGCTAATTTATTTTGAGAAAATGCATCTAAATACTTTATAGTAGTTGACCCAAAATTCAAATACCATAAAATTAAAGAGATCTAATTAATATAATATTGTTATTGTTACTCATTACCCCTGCGAAGCTGCCCACAGCCTCTCTGCAGCGCCGGTTCAATCCCCGGCCGCCAACAAGGGTCCCACATGGCGAGACAGACCTCTCCTGCCACGCCCGCTGCTCCCCTCAGCAGTGTATTTCATCAGTCTGAAAGACTGGGTTTAGCAAGTTAAAAATGGTACAGCAAACTATGGAAAACTCAAAAGCCAAAAATTTCAGGGAAAATACTGTTATTATGACCATTCGCAATCAAACACTTTCAACTGAATAAGTCTTTCCTATGTCTATATGCTACTCTAATATTTATTTTCCCACAAAGAAGGGAAAATTATGCTAATCTCACCACTTTTTCTCTACTTGTTGGCACAGGTGAGAATTACTTGAACAAAGAAACTGTCAGCAAAGTTTATGCTTAAAATGGCTTGAATTTGTATGAGATAAATGTGGGCACAGAATTTCATCTTATTTGCCCAACTGAGTGACTGGTCATACTTGAGAGCTTAAAGCAAAGCTTCAGTACATTTCTAAAGTATGAGAAAAGTTGTTTGGTCTGTCTATGTTTCTTGAAGGTTTTCTTGACTTGTTATTTTTAAAAAATAACAATAGATCCTTGAAATTCAAGGAGAAAATTTATTTTTCAAGGAAATATCCTGCACATTTTGCAGTTCAAATTTTAACTGTTGAAGGGTTATTGCCCTAGAAATGTATCTTGACTTTCTTCCCTCCCTGCCTCTGATCCTCTCCCTCCTCCTCCCCCGCAGAATGTCTCTGATTTTAAATTGTCCATTTTTGCTTTGTTGTGTTTTGTACTGTTATTATTTTTTTACACTGATGTCTTACTGGGTTCCCCTATATTCCTGCTATAAGTGAAACCATCTGATATTTTTCTTTTTCCTTCTGGCTTATTTCACTGAGCATCACTCCTTCTAGCTCTGTCCACGTTGCTGCGAATGGCATGAGTTTATCTTTTTGATTGCTGAATAATATTCCACTGTGTATATATGCCACATCTTCTTGATCCAGTCATCTATTTTTGGGCATTTGGGTTGTTTCCAGGTTTTACCTATTGTAAATAGTGCTGCAATAAACATAGGGGTACAGGTGTTCTTTTCAATCACTGTTTTTGTGTCCTTTGGGTAGATCCCTAGGAGTTGAATTGCCGGGTCGTATGGTAGCTCCATTTTTAGTAGACTGAGGAACCTCCAGAGAGCTTTCCACAGTGGATGGACCAGTTTGCACTCCCACCAGCAATGTAGGAGCATTCCTTTTTCACCACATCCTCGCCAACATTTGTTGTTGCTTGTTTTTTTGATATGTGCCGTTCTTACTGGTGTAAGATGGTATCTCAGTGTGGTTTTGATTTGCATTTCCCTGATTATAAGGGATGTTGAACATTTTTTCACATGCCTGTTGGCCATTTGCATTTCCTCTTTGGAGAAACGTATTTTAAATTCTTCTACCCATTTCTTGACTGGATTATTTATTTTGTTTTTGTTGAGCCCTGTGAGTTCTTTGTATATCTTTGTGATCAGTCCCTTATCAGCTGAATGGAATGCAAAGATTTTTTCCCAATCAGTGGGGTGTCTTTCTGCTTTGGTTAATGTCTCTTGTGCTGTGCAGAAGCTTAAAAAGTATTTTTAACCCCAAGCAGACTATAAAAAATAAACCTTACTATTCCTAGAACTCATCCACTTTCAAGGTCCAAACAAACCCGGGACCACCAGCACTGACCAGGACAGCGCAGACGCTGTGGTCCTCCTCCAGCTTGTTCCGCTCGGCTCAGTTAGCTGCATTACTGCTCCCACAGTTGTTTAGGCCTCAAACCCATGAGTCATCCCTAACTGACCTTCTCTCATTCCTATGTTTAATCCACTAACAAGTCTAGGTGGTTCTATCTCCAAAATACAGCCTACATCTGACCACCTCTCACCATCTCCACTTCAGGTATTTTGGTCAAAGCCACCATAATGGCTTCCCTGGGGGACAGCAGTCGTCTCCTGACTGGTTTTCCTGTTTCCACTCTTGCTCCTCTGTAACCCCACAGAGCAGTCTCAGTAGCCTTTACAACATCGACCAGACCAGGTAAGTTCCCATACCTGTCACCCTCACCGGGGTTAGTGTCACTCTTGGGTGAAAGGCCCTCCCTCCTCCACTGCCCCCTCTTCACCAGCACCGCCTCTTCTGCACCCCTATGGCACTCATGCAACGCAGCCTTCCCTTTCCCAAGACCACCAGACCATCTTTCTCCTCATTCCTGCCACCTCAGGGCCCTGGGGCTGACATCTCTTTACATGAGCTTTTTACAGGACAGGCTCCTTATCTTCTTTCTTGGTGCCTCAAATGTCCCCTGTGTAGGGAGCTTTTCTGACCACCTTATATAAAAATGGCCAATCACCATGATTTTCTTTATATCAAGAAGCAACACAATATCTAAAATTAAGTTGATTTTCTAATTTGCTCTCTTCTCTGACAAAGCTGGAAGCCCTGTCTTACCCACGCCTGTGAATGGTGCCAGGACAGATTGTACTCAAACATCTGTAAAAGAAAATAATTCCTTCTCTAAAATTCATTTGCTAAAAAAATAAACATGTTCATGATCTCCAATCAAACATGTTTCAAATCCGCAAACTAGATTACATAAAAGTCTATACTGATTGTAGATGAAAATGTTAAAAATAACTCTATGCTGGTTGTATGACAAAATGAAAAAAGTGGAGGAACAATACCTGAATGGGCTTCACTGAAATACATTAAAATCAATAATGCAATTAGCAACTTGTAACCTAGTCTCCCCAATTTTGCATCGACGTCAATCTCCCAGCTGCCTTTCCCTATAAACTGGAAAACTACTATTCCCAAGAGCACTGAAGGGACGTCTCTCACTCTCACATGCACCTTTCACGCCACTTCCTCAAAGCTCCCTAGTTCTAGAAATTGCAAGAGATAGACAAGTCATGACTAGAAATCCTTCCAGTTTTGCTGGGAATTAGTTATTTACTATCTCAAATCAAATAGGATTTCTCTCAGCTTACTGAGCCATGAAATATTTCATACTTAGGCTGAGATTTATGATGAAAGATTAAATACTATTCTTCATATTCATCTGAGAAGTCTAGAAAAATCCATAGCTACACACTATAAAGTAATAGATATATAAAAATGAGACAAAACAGAAAATAGAAATATCCTCAAAGTACTGACTGATTCTGGTACAAATAAAATGTTATCTTTTCTGAAATAAACTTGTAAAGTAGAAAATGTGATGCTTTACACATCAGATCCCATTTCAACACTCTTACTGAGAGTCACAACTATGTTTAACTGTTTATACAAAACCCAATTAAACACAAAAGAATAAAAAACTATTACAAAGATAGTTAAGACATTACAGTCATTTTGTCATAATTTGGCATTGAAAACTAAGTTGAAAACTTTCAGGATTAAAAATTCCCAGATAGACAACTTCTTTTTATTATAGGCGACTGAAACACAAACACAAAAAAATCAGTAACAAAATTTTTTAAAGTGAAGTGGTGATTAAGGGAAATTACCAACTCTTCACTTCTACAATTTAAGTTAAAAAGCACACACACATCACTATAATCTCAAAGGATACTGTACCGTGACGCGAGCAGCTGACCCCGCACACGCAGACGGGGAAAGCGGGAAAATGACCCGGTGATAAAGGCGATACAAGAGTCTCAAGCTCGCAGACAAACAATAGAAACAGAATTCTTCACTCTCCTTCCTTCCACCCCCCTCCCTACACACCCCCCAAGGTGTAGGAATAAGAATATTTTCTTGGAGTAAGACCCCACTCATTTGAACAACACAGTAAGACACCTGAAAATATGTGTGTATGTCACATATGCCTTCCCAAGGCCCTAAAAAGGACATCATCTTTTGACGAGAGTCACAAAGCCAATGAGACCCTCAGGGACATCCCAGTCCTGTTCCACGCAGCTTATAAGACTGTATTTCTTCCAACAGACTCACACTGCTTTCATTCATTTACACCAGATTCATTCAGCCTTACCAAAATATGCACGTAAGGACAGTGAAGACAAGCAAAACAACAGTAATAACATTTAAGAAATGGTTTTGACAAGAGAACTTAAATAAGCACATAAACTAAATATGAAAAGCATCCCATGAATCCAGTAACTTCTGATACAGCTGTCTAGACGAACAAGCTAGGGAAATACCACCAGGCACTTGCCTCTGTTCCTAAAGCTGTATTTCTAAACACCAGCATCAAGAGACTAGGATAAAAACAAATTGTCAAGTGCTATCAAACAGGATTTCTATATTAGACGATGAGATATAATAAAATGAGCACTGATGTAAAGCACCACATGCCCTGCTACAGCACTCAGAAGCCAGCTTACCGTAGTGCAGAGTAGACACCCAAGGACAGAAATGAATAATCGGGATCGTAGTACAAATACACAGACGACACGCAGTAGGGGAGGATGTCGATCACCCCCACGGCAATGATCTTCCCGTCAAGCCAGTACTGCTGGTGAAAGGAGCCATAACCACAATCTGGCCCGTTAGCAGGATTCTCTGCCTGCAGAAAAGTAGCAGATGCAAATATGAATGCCTTGTCATTTTTACATTAAAAATCTTAATAATCAATTATACTTTTATTCAAATTAGTAAGTCCTAAAACTTCCTCTTTGCTGCCATCATCTGCCCTAGTCAGATCCTGCAAAACTTTTTACTTGTTAGAAAAACTGAGCAAACAAACAGAGAAATCAACTTAGGATTTTTTAATTTAATTGTTTTACTATTCGATAGTACGAAGTATAAGATTTACAAGAAAAGTAAGTAACATATTGAACTGTATTTTCCACACAAAAGTTGGAAAAGAAATGATATATAAGAGAAAGATAGAAAAGACAAAAGAAGGCTGGGTGAGAAAAGAACTGTCCACCTACTGTCCAGTCAGGCCCGCTAAGTGGCACTACCCCACACGGGTAAGGCGTGCGGTTCCACTACGTGTGGTAAGAAACAGTTTCTGAGTCAGCGCAAAGGGCTATGACATTTCCCCTTATTAGCCAAAGCACAGTAAAGTTATTTCTTATCATTACGTACTGTAACTCTAATCCCACAGAAGAAATAGAGATTTCTGAGTATAACCATCTTTCTGTAAAAATTAGCTGAGTGATATTCCTCATTTTAAAGTTCAACAGGATTTCAAATATAACTTATTAAACGAAAACTATATAATAAAGGTTATGAAGCAGCATAAAAATGCTTTGCTGGGAATGAATGGAAGTTAGAGATTAATTATTTAAGTGAATAAATACAAGACCTGTCTATGATTTTCCCACAGTTAAAATCACAGAGAATGTATACAGACAAAAGCTAGAAGGGAATGGAGAAAAATCAAAAGAGCAGACACACTAAATACTAAGACCAGAAACAAATTACAATATAGGAAATCTATAGAATATCTTTCATGAACATATATACAAAGAATCCTTATTAAAATATTATCAGATATAACAATATTTAGAAAGAACTCTACATCACAATGAAACAATTTATTCCAGTCATGCAAAGTTGGTTCAACATTAGAAAAGTAACATAAAAAGAAAAGCAATTAATGTAATCTACCACATCAACAAGCTAAAAGCAAACCATGATCTTATCAACTGATACAGAAAACACATTTGACAAAATTCAGTCATAGCTAAAAACTCAACAATGTTGTCAAACTATTTTAAATGATACATTTAAATAAGTTCTTTTCAAATATCCCTCGCATATTCAAGTCAGTAAAATACAGCAACATGAAAAGTATTTCAACACATGGTTCAAAGAAGTTTCTTGAAACTTGCTTTGCTATATTTTTCTTCCCAATGTGTTTTCTGACAAAATATAAATGATCAGCATACTGGTTTTGGTAAATCAGCAAATTCTATTTTTTTTAAATTAACTGTATCTGATTACAGTTCAACTTATAAAGGTAAAGGAAAAATAATAAATATATTCTTTGTGAGTCATAAATCCCACAGAAAAGAATCTGTCCTTTCAAAAGAATTAGCAAGACGATTTATTTATAGAAATGCTCAATGCAGTATTGTTGGTTCCAGTGAACTGGTGAATCACTACAACCAACATGCATGACCAGAGTACCCCACGCAGCCATGAACAAAGAACAATCTTTTTCTCTTGATGCCCTAATGTAGACAGATACTCAAAATCACTTTAATAAAAATAGGTTCAAAAATGATCCTGTTTTCATTATAAACAAACAGAAACAAAGAAAAATCTAACCAGTCAAAAGAAAAAAAACAGAAAACATGTGTTTACACACTTGGGCTAAGTGATTGAGCCCACTAAAAGGAACCCCGACTCCTTAGGTCAGAAGGAGTCACAGTAATTGTCCATGGGGCGCAACCCCACAGTAGTAGCGAGGGCACCCAAGTCACTGACCACTTCCTACTTGATGCCTTGAGAATCCTACTTTAACACCTGCAATTGTCACACTTCTTTCACCTCTTACTTAATCATTTAATCATTAACATGCATTAACTGGCTCCAACGTGGAAAGTGATACAAATACAAGCGATGCAGAAAAACACGGTGTAGGAAGGGCATGGTGGGACTTAGAAGAGCTCTTGGCCTTGGAGTCCCTTCTCCTTGGAAGAACTACTGAGTGCCCCAGAGAGGCTCTGATTATTGTCTGTACCTGTAGACATTCACTGTTTTAGACATTAAAAACAAAATCTTTTTTTTTAAGATTTTATCTATTCATGCATACAAGAACCGGGGTACAGGCCAGATGTGCAGGAGGGTGAGAGGATTCACCGGAGACAGAGCAGGGAACATAACAGTCAGATCGACAGAAGTATACTGCTGAGGGGAGCAGCGGGCAAGGCAGGAGAGGTCTGCCTCGCCATGTGGGTATCTTGCCAGCCAGCCGGGATTGAACCTGTGGTGCAGAGGCTGCGGACAGCTTCACAGTGCAGCGCTCAACCGCCTGCACCACCAGGGAGGCCCTGAAAATAAAATCTTGAAAAATGTGCATTTGCTAATTCAATTAAAATAATATTAAACCAAATACATGTTAACGTATTTTGTAAAACAAACAAACAAAAAAACCCCTGGTTTCCAAAACAACAAAATATTAGTGAGAAAAATGGTAGTTTTATACATTTTACAAATCTCTTTAATGCCTGGCTTAACAGAGGACAGCTGGATTCTCACATCTGCTTCTGTATTTAATTTGTTGCCATCATGCAGCCTCTGGAAAACACCCCCACACATGTGTGGAGAATGAGAGTGAAAGGACTAATAAGACAAGTTAAACCTGAGGATCCCCTAGAAAGACCTCAGGGGCCACCAGGAGCTGCAGGCCCACACTCTTGAGAACACTGATAAAAACATATTTTAAAATATAGGAAGAGGGCGTCCCCAGTGGCGCAGCAGTTGAGCACTGGGCTGTGAAGCTGCCCACAGCCTCTACAGCGTCAGTTCGAACCCCGGCTGCCATGAAGGGTCCCACATAGCACACACACCTCTCCTGCCACGCCCACTGCTCCCCTCAGCTGTGTCCTCCATCTGTCTGCCTGTTCTGCTACCTGCTCTGGCTCTGGTGAATTCTCTCACCCACCCGCGCTTCTGACTGTATCCAGGTACTTGTATAAATAAATAAATAAATAAACAAACAAACAATTTTTAAGAAAAAATAAAATAAAATGTAGGAAGAGGAAAAGCCCATGACGACAAAGGAAGATGCAGGCGACAGTGGCCTCGGCCCAGGGTTTGAGTCAGAGCATCTGGGCTGAGACCATCTCCACTGGATGCTTTCTGGCTATTTTACCTTAGCAAGACAGTTTCACTTCTTTTAAAAGTATCACTTTCTGTATTAAAAAAAAAATCTTTTTACCAATTTTTAGGAACCCTGTTTTCCATCAACTGCACTTCTATTTTCTGCTTAAGACCCTAGAAGAGCAGCTGTGGGCCCCTCAGCGCTTACTCCTGCATATTCAGTGGCCTGAGCAGTGGGAGCTGCCCTCAGGCCTTCAGTGGCAGGCCAAATGCTCCAGTCTTCCAGGGGAACTCTGGGTGGGCACACAGCGTGCCTGCTGCCACCAGCATTGAACAGCAGTAAGCCTGGGAGCTGGAGCTGTCTGTTCAGCCTGAATCCCTCCTTGACCCACCCTCTCAGCAGCGGCCTGCTCTTCCCTTCCCATCTCTTCATGGTCTGTAGACGCAGAGACCAGGCATGAACCCCCTGGACGCTCATGGGAGACAGTGCCAGCATGTGCACAACTTCCTGATTGCACCCACCACCCAAGAGGACCCCCCTCCTGTTGCAGGGACGGTGGCGTCCACAGCGCCCAGAGTCTGCTACACAGGGCAACCCTAGCAGGTTAACACAGATGCCTCTGTGAGAGGCTGGGGGTCAGTGCAGGGACGTCTCACCACCAAAGTGGTGGTTCCCAGAAAGCTGCCTGGATCTAGGTGGTGCAGGTTCCGGGTGAAGTGGCCAGCAGCAGGAGGGGCTCCAGTGGCCTCAGCAAACCTCAGCACAGCCACTGGCCTGTGATCTTGGTCAATGTGACACCAAATCAGGCAGGCTTCCAGTGGCATGAGCTGCCACTGAAGCTTCTCCCAGGTTCTCTTCAAATTCATGATGCAGATGCTACCACTTCTCCTTCCACAGACATACTGTTCCACTTGGAAGTCAAGGCAGATGGCACCAAGTGCGTTCCTGCTGCAAGGACTCTGAGGACATTGTCCTCCTTCATTTGCAGGACACCAATGGCTCCAGACACTACAAGTTTCCCTTTAAGTCACGACAGAACAAGTTAAGAACCCAGAACAAGGCCGTGTGCACCTCTCTCTGGGTAGCTGAAAGCTCTTTCTGCATTTTAAAACAGGAATCACACTGCTGCTCACCCTCAAAGGTGAGAAACAAATGACAAGTACAAAAAGAGGACTCCACAAGAAAATCTGGTCCGATGTCTATGTTTGATTTTCTGGAGTCTGAGTAACACATGCTAAAAGATCATGACTACAAAACTACATCATAGCTCACATATTAGCAAAGTTATTTAAACTTACAGCAAGTACCTTTAATTTCCTCATATAAATGATTTAGTGATGTGACTAGTAATATTTAGTAGTTTATTTTTCTTAAGCCTGAAGTTTGCGTAGTTTTGAATATGTGCAAAGAATTAATTAGCAAAGTTATTTTTCACAAGTTCCTAAATTCCAGGGATTTAAGCTGATAGCAGGGGGAAAAAATATAAAGCTTGCCACCATTATGCAAAAGAAAAACATCTTAAATGTCAGGAGTCTTCTGTGACTGATGACTGTGCAGGACACCACTGAATCATGGAGAAACGAGGTCACTATTCAAAGACCAGTCTGGCTTCAAGTTCAAGTGCTCGGCAAATGGATGCATGTTTACTCAGGAAAAGTGCACGTGTCTCCTGACCCACCGCCTCCCTGCCCGTCAGTTATGCCCTAAAAAAACACTGTTAAGACTCAGAGGAATAGGCCAGGCATCACAGCCAATATCTGGAAGACTGAGGGGTTCACAGGCAGGAT